GTGATGCTCATGTGGGGTTGTTGGGAAGTTTGCTTTAGGGCTGCACCCAGTCTGATCACCCACTGGTGGCTGGAGTGTATTAGGTGAACTGGATGGGGTTTTGGGTCAAGTTTGAGATGCATCCCCCCAAAAAAATATGCAGTCTGTGTGCTCAAACTGCTCCTTGATGCAACCAAAACTAGGGGATATGGAAAAGTATTGGAAGTGGGGCAGCCAGAAGATTGTGCCAATCCTGGCAATGCTCCTCTTCCCGGAGGAATTAAAGGTAACCCTGGCCAGGCAGTCACTCCTCTCTGGAGGGAGGGGAACAGAGAGGCTCGTTCTCTCCTCGGGTCTGTCCCTGAAGTGTTGTTGTATCCAGGTGTTGTTGGGTTGTCTCATGAACCCGACAGGAAGGTGGCACAGTGGGGAGAAGGGAAGGGATCTCTTTTCTTTGGGAGGCAAGCTCGGAATTGTTCTACTGGAAAGCACTGAGGACAACAAGGGAGTTGTCTTGATACAAATCCAGTGGTCACTGATCCAGAAACAGCCCCTTCTTTCTGCCCTTAATTTTAAATCTGGATCCATGCTCTGGGAAGGATGTGGTTGGGATGGTCCCCCAGATGCCAAGGGATGGATGTTGATCCTGGGCTTGCTGTGGGCCTCCTTGTATTGCCTGAGGCTTTTTCTGGATTGGGCACTGAGGAATTAGAGTTTCCCTTTTGTCTGGGAGACCTTGGGGGCTAAGCCCCTGAGCTACATTTTGGTAAAAATAGCCAAAATCTGGTAACTGCCTTGGGAGGGGTCCACAGAGAAACGATTGTCAAATTAATGAATGATGATGATGAATGTGATGGATCACCATTCACCATAATGCAGAATCCCAGACTGCTTTGGGTTGGGAGGGACCTTAAAGCCCATGTCATTCCAACCCCCTGCCATGGGCAGGGACACCTTCCACCAGCCCAGGTTGCTCCAAGCCCCGTCCAACCTGGCCTTGGACACTTCCAGGGATCCAGGGGCAGCCACAGCTTCTTTGGGCAACCTGTGCCAGGGCCTCGCCACCCTCGGAGTAAATTCCCTGCCTTCTCAGAGATCCCTGATTCGTGCTGTGCAGTGAGGGGCTGTGCAGAAGGTTTATGACTCAAGAAGATCAGAAATGGGTGGACTGGTCTCCAACTCTCTGTGTGAGCAGAAAATTGCTCATCCTCAGAACATCTCGGGGCCACCATCTCACGTCCCCTCATTAGTGTGGGAGGGGTTTTGCTCTTGTCACTTCACATCCAGCCATTTTCCAGCTTGGATTCTCAGTTTTGGGCTCCAGAGGGACAGAGCTGAGCCAATGATGCTGATTTTCTCTGCTTCTTTCCCCCTGTCTCTCCTAAAGTTTTGCTTCTACAACTCTGTAGAATTTTCCCTCTGCTCCAGGTGTCCTTTAAAGATAATTTCTGGTTGCTCATCACTTCCCTCCAGGAATTCAAGTAGGCCAGGGTGATTTGCATCAGATCCAAAGGTCTGAATACATGGAAAACTATTCAAATGACCTCTTGGTTCCCAGTTCTGCCCTGAGTTTTTAAACTCATAATTATAGCACGGCTGCTTCCAGGTTTCTGCAAGCAAAAATGCTTCAACCTCTTTTTGTTCATGATTTTTTTTTTTTACGACTGATTTGTCTTTTTTTTTTTTTTTTTTTTTAAATTAATGCAACTAGGTAAGTTGTATTTCCCTGTCCTCATCTGATCTGGATTTGCCCTGGATGGACTTGATGATTTTTTTTCCCACCCCTAATTATTCTCTGATTTTGTGATGTTGTTGATTTTGCTGCTTCATCTTTCCTGATGGTTTTTATCCATCATGTTTCTGGTTTGTTCTGGAGTGAGTTGTCACCGTTTTGCCTTTGTTTAACTATTTTCAACATCTTTAAACCCTGCAAACCCAGCTACTTCCAAACCTGTATTTTTAAATAACTCTTTGGAACAGATTAAGAGAAAAACAAAAGTGTTCAAGTTTCTATCAGTGAATTATGGCTTCGTTTGATTAATTAATGAGTAGAAATACCCATCTGGAAATTAAGCTGCACTAATTGTTCTCAGGCTGGTGTTTGCTTCCCTCCAGGCTCGATGGACAGAGCAGGTTGTTGCAGAGGTTTTGGGAAATCATTAGACAGAACCAACTCAAGAGGATGTTTTCTTGCCAGTGGTTTTTAGTAGCTTGAGACAAATTTGGCCAGTGGAGACCTCGGGGATATTTTGTAGTTAATCTGGTTTGTCTCAGTGTTCAAAGCAGGGTTTGTGGCTCAGAAGAGAGTCAAACCCTGCCTGGTTTGACCCTTTGCACTGGTGGCACTCCAGGCTGCTTCCATCCCTGTCCAGTGAGGATGGCAAGAAAGCCCAGAGCAGCAGTGGCTGAAAACACTCTTCTTGAGCTTCTGTCCCCCTCCAAGTTAATCTTCAGTGTGCAGCAGGGCCCGGAGAGCAACTTGGTTGAATATAAAAAAATAGGGGGTTTATTTCCCCTTTAAAGTGAAATAAAGCACAGAACCACGGCCTGGGACTCCGAATTCCCCATCCTTCAGTGGCCAGTTCTTGGAAGTTTTTAGCAGATAGTTCTTTGAAGTTTGACAAGATTTAGTTCATCTGTTTGAGAGAAGGAATCAATCAAAGCAAACTCTTTTGTGGGCTCAGGATGGTAAAGCCAGGAGGAGTCCTGGTGAGTTGGGATGTGGGTTTTGGTACTTTGTCAGATTTGGGTCCTAGAGATGTTTGGATTCTTAAAGGGACCTCAAAGCTCATCCCACCCCCTGCCATGGGCAGGGACACCTTCCACTAGCCCAGGTTGCTCCAAGCCCTGTCCAACCTGGCCTTGGACACTTCCAGGGATCCAGGGAAAGCCACAGCTTCTCTGGGAATTCCATCCCAGACCCTCCCCACCCTCACAGCCAACAATTCCTTCCCAATATCCCATCTAACCCTGCCTTCTGTCAGTGGGAAGCCATTCCCCCTTGTCCTGTCCCTCCATCCCTTGTCCCCAGTCCCTCTCCAGCTCTCCTGGAGCCCCTTTAGGCCCTGCAAGGGGCTCTCAGCTCTCCCTGGACCCTTCTCTTCTCCAGGTGAATCCCCCCAGCTCTCCCAGCCTGGCTCCAGAGCAGAGGGGCTCCAGCCCTGGGAGCATCTCTGTGACCTCCTCTGGACTCTCTGCAGCAGCTCCATGTCCTTGCTGTGCTGGGAACTCCAGACCTGGAACTCCAGACCCTACCCAAGGACAGGCTAGAGGGGCATTTTAACCTTCCTTTATCCACACCAGTGTTTTTGGAGAAGAGGGGCCTTATGCAAATATCTCCTGATAAACCACCTCCTTGTTTGTTTGTTTGTTTGTTTTTTCCTCCAAACAGAGATTTATTTGTTAATCCCCTGATCCAGAAAATCCAGAAACTCAGTCCTGACACACTTTGGTTCCACTTGGTGTTTCAGGTGTCAGATTTTCTTCTGTGATTTATCTTAATCTATTACTTATTTCGAAACCAAGATTGAACAGTGTTGATTTGTGGGTTTTCTTTTTTTCTTAACTATTTGAGAAATACAAGCCCTTTATTTTTTAGAATTAAACAAGACTTAAAAATCCCCCGAACTGACTTGGAACTGCCTCCCAGAGCACCCGGGTTGGGTCCTTCATCTGAAACAGCTCAGCTGAGAAGCTGAAAATATTCCACTCCCAAAAAACTGGGAGGTTCCCAGGGCTGTGCTGCCCATTGAATCTGGAGCTGCTGGTGGGTGAGTTGTATTTAAAATAGTGAGGTTTTGCTCTACCTTTTCAGTCTGGTGTTCTCATTTGCTGCTGTTCTCTGCTGTTGGTGCAGGTGAAGCCCAGCTGGCCAAGCATCACCCCCCCAGTGCCATAGGTTGGCTATTCCAGCACATCCAGCCCTGGAGTAACAAAGCAAATCCCCCCAAATTATGATGTGAATAATCCATAGGACTTGTTTGAGAGGAGGAAAACAAGCAGGGTCATAATTTAATTTATTGACATATTGCCTGAGGCTGCACCTTGGGAATGGTGAACCCAGGAGAAGTCCCAGCTGTGCTTTATCTCCAGAAAAAAAGGAGAAAATAGGGAGAAGGAAATGAGTCTTCATGTTTTTCTAACTCTGTCCTTTGCCTGTGAGAGATGGGGTGGCTTCTTTGATGTCTCCAGACAGGGTTTGGCTTGATCCTATCAGAGCTGCAGCACAGAAAGGGGTTAGAGGGGAAAAGGGAGACAGACTGGAACAAATAGGGTTGAGATAAATTTTCTGCCTTCACATATTCATAATTGCACCGAAAACATCGTTTAGCACTTTTTGCTTCAACTTTTATTGGAGGGGGGATGCAGCTGGGAAGGGAATGGGTGAGTAGAAAATCAGGTCTGGCAGTCTCAGCACTGGGTCTGGTTCCGTTTGACTCTACCTGGCTGCAAGATACAATCTTGGAAATATTTTAAACAGGGAACTGCTTCAGCAAGATGGATTTGTGCATCTCATTTACAAAGTATGTTTTTAATGCCTTTCTGAAATCCAAACTTATGCAAAATGGGGCTTGTTATGCATGTCTCTGCATTTTAATCTCCTGCAGTGATTTGTCAGTTTTCCTTAACATCTCCCTGGCATATTCCAGCCATTCCTCAACTTTGCTTTGTGGGGCTGCATCTCTGTGGCAGCTCAGCTCTCCCAGCGAGGAAGGAGCTGCAATTTGGTCATTCCCTGGTAAGGTTTATGAGCTGCCATGCCTGTTTCTTTGGACTGGGAGCAGTACCAGTTGTGGATTGAAAGGCTGGGAAAAGCTGAGTGTAATTTGGGATACAGTCTCTTTTATTTTCTGCTCCAGCTGTCCTGGGAGCGTTCTCGTTTCCATTGATTTGTGCTCCTTGTGTTTCTGCTCTGCATTGATAATTGGTTACTGATTTTTTATTTTTTTTTTTTCCCCTGGCTAAAAATAGCTCAGCTGCCCAAAGTGTTGATGTGATTTTATTGCTTTTCCTCTTTCCAGATGGGCTTTCTGGCAGAGACCAGCCAGTGGAGCTGCTGAATCCACCTCGAGTGAACCACATGCCCAGCTCTGGTAAGGAAAAACTTCTTATTAAGCCTCCTTCCTACTCTGGGGGTGCAGGCAAACCTCCTGCAGCTCTGCCTTGCAAGTGGGAGAGCAGGATGCAAATGCCAGATGCTGGCACAAAGTCTGTTAGGACTTGCACACCTCTGCTTTCCCAAGCTGGGAGAGTGGGATTTGGGAATGGAGCACAGCAGCCTTGGGAGTCTTAAATAAAAGGCAGGGGGCTGAGGAGAGCCCAGCCTGGTGGGAGCTGCCTGGTTTTCCTTAGAAAGGAGAGGGCAGGAGAGCAAAGCAGCACCTTCAGGAGTCCTTTCCCAGCCCAAAAGGAGCACTGGGAAGCCAGGGAGGTTTTAGAGTTGCTGTTTTTATTGAGGAGGAATCTCATGTGGAAAGAGGAGCCGAGGCTGTGCTGATCCAAGGGTGTCACGCTGGGCTCGGAGCTCTTTGCTCTTCTTTCTCTTCCCAAGATCCTGCCATGGCCTCTCCTGGGTCTTGTGGTGCCCATCCTGGAGCCTGGCTGCTCCTCACAGCTGCAGCTTTTCAAGGGATGGGAACCAAAGTTCTGCTCTCAACACCTGGAATTGTGTGGAAAACAATCTGCTGCTGGCCTTTGTGTTTCCCCCCTTCTCTGTCCTCAAAGCGTTTTGTTTCCAGGTGCAAACAGAGAGAGATTTATACCAGGAGATAGAAAACACATTCTGCTTTGCAGGTAGCAGCTCAAATCTTCCAAAAGCCCAACTTTCCCTTCTCTGTTGCCTTCCAAAATGCCTCCAGGGCCTTTCATATTAAGGAAAAGATCTCGCAGGAGATCTGAGCCTTTCTGGTGGTGCCAGTTGGAAAGATGTAAACGAGGTTTATTCAAAACAACTTCAGGAGATTGGGAGGGGGGGAAAAATGGGCTGTGATCTAACCTGGAGTTTTGTGGACTTAAATGCATATCTGGGGAAGGAATCTTTTAAGGAGGTCGAGCATTGGGGAAAGAAAAGAAGAGGTGGTTGTTGACCAGCGTTGGGCTTCGGATTGTGAGGAATCTCCCTCTCATCCGTGTGCTCCCAAACGTGTCCAGCAGGTAAGGGAGGTTCTGTTTTCCCAACCCTCAGAGAGATTCCCATTTTTAAATGACTCTGGTAACACAGGTCAACTGACAGGTTTGACTCCCCGTTTGGGATCTCTGTGCCGGGTTGGATTCCGTGGCTCCGCACAAGAGGAGTGGATCCATCAGTGGCTCGCTGGCCAGCACTGGGAATGGGATAGCTTGGAGCCTTTTATTCTTGTGTTTTGGGGTTGATTTTGTTGCTGGCTAAGTTTAGGGTTTCTTTCTGAGGTCTTTCAGCCAGAGGCCAGTGCTGGTTCCCAGCTCGGGGAACCTGCTGGCGGAGTCTGCTGGGCTCTGTTCTTCCCTGTTTTGAGGTGGAATGGACTCATTCAGGATTTAGGGAATTCTGGCTGTTTGGACTCTGGTTTGAATGTTTTTAATAGCTCACCTCTATGCTTTTGAGAAAACAATAAGCCAGGGATCCATCCAGAGCTGGAGAGGGACTTTGGACAAGGGCCTGGAGGGACAGGACGAGGGGGAATGGCTTCCCAGTGCCAGAGGGCAGGGATAGATGGGATGTTGGGAAGGAATTCTGGCTGTGAGGGTGGGGAGGCCCTGGCCCAGGTTGTCCAGAGAAGCTGTGGCTGCCCCATCCCTGGAAGTGGCCGGGTTGGAACAACCTGGGCTAATGGAAGGTGTCCCTGCCCATGGCAGGGGGTGGAATGGGATGATCCTTAAGGTCCCTTCCAACCCAAACCATTCCGGGATTCTGATCTGGAAAAGCAAGTTATGTGTGGGATTGGGGGGAGGGTGTCCCAGGTCTCAGGCACGGCTGAAATAATGGTGTTGGAAAACAGCTTAAGGAAAAAAAATGGTTTGATTGTGTCCTGGGAGATGTGGTTTAAAATGTTCTCCTGCCTTGGCAGGCTGGAGTTGAATGAACTTGAGTGGTCTCAGGGCTTTTATCCTGCACTTGGGTGGGAGATAAAATCACTGTGGTATGATTGTAGGAAACCAAAATGGTTTTCTCCTCACTACCAACCAAGTGAAGGAGAGGTTTGACCCTTGTTAGTTGTTATCCTCTGATGTGAAATGGTGAGAAAGTCCTAAAAATCCTCTGTCCTGCAGAGCATTTCAACTACAAAAAAGGAACATTTAGGGCATTTTTATGAAATGCTTTTAGGAGTGAACTGGGTTGAGTGGAATTGAAGTTCAGTAGTAATTTAAATTATTGAGCAAAATTGTTTTCCTTAATTTTTTTTATTTAAGTCAGGGTGGGGAGGCCCTGGAACAGGTTGCCCACAGAAGCTGTGGCTGCCCCTGGATCCCTGGAAGTGTCCAAGGCCAGGTTGGAGCAACTTGGGCTAGTGGAAGGTGTCCCTGCCTATGGCAGGGGGGTTGGAGTGAGATGATCCTTAAGGTCCCTCCCAACCCAAACCACTCTGGGATTCTATGCCATAAGTAAAATACTGAATAAAGTGGAAATTACCCCTTTTAAACTTAAAGCTTTCTTTTAGGTAATAAAACTGGGAATTGGGATGAACAGGCTCAGCTGAGCAGCTGTGTTTTTCCACTAGGTGGAATTTTAAGGATATCTCTGTGATACAATTAGGAAAAAAATGATTCCCTTTCACGTCGTGTTTCCATTGATTTTTCAGGGATGCCTTCCCAAGCTGTGATAAAATATATCCAAAAAGCTCGTCTGTCTTCCATGTATCCCTCCATGTGCACACAGAGAGTTAGAGAGTCCAGAAATTATCCTCTGACCAACAAACCAGGAGTTTGGGGACTTCACCTTGGAGCTTCAGCTTCCCCTCTGCTCTTCCATACATGGCTGCTTCCCACTCTCCATCCTGGACCTGCTGCCTCTGCACTTCCTGCTGCCCATCCCTTGGCATGGCTCTTCCAGCACAGCACTGGGGCTCTGCTGGATCTGGGAACAGCAGGGGCAGCAGGGCAGAGGCAGCCAGGGGATCCTGTGGGAGTTTTCAGTTCCCTGCTGCTTTTCCTTCTCCCTGGAGCTAATTATCCACTCTCACTTCCACATTCCTTTGAAAAAAAAAAATGTTGATGTGTTTAGGGATAAAAGGTTTGTAAGAGCCTCTGGACTAATATTGTTCCATGATTTTAGAGGCTTTTGAAATCAGAGATTAATCCCTGTCTGCAGGAGGAAGGAGGACTATTCCAGTCGGTCCAAAATCCACGCTTGGAATTGTGAATTCCCCTTTTCCAAGGCAGGAGATGCCCTCACTGGATCAGGGCTGCTTCCAAAGCTCCTTCAGGAAGGTACCAAAGCAGCTTTGAAGCAGGTTCAGGTTGCTGCCCGTGGGACTTGGGCTCCTGACAGCCAGGATCCCACTGGCCTCGTTCACCCTGGGCTGTGTGAGTTTGGGAACAACGTGAGGTTTTATGGTGCCCAAAAGTAGCTCATCTGCAGAAAGGCTTCTCTTTAATGTTAAAAATATCCTGATATTATATATGGAGACATATATATGGAGTCCAGGAGGGGGAGAAACCCATCCAAGCCCCCCAAATTGTTGATAGAAGTGAGTTCTAGAGAAACCATTTAATGTCACAACCTCATTGGCTTATTGTCCTCTTGTGGGGTTATTGAAAAGCCAGAGCTGGTTTTGCCAGGCTTGGGGTGTTAATTTTGCCACCATTTATGGTGGCACAAGATAAGATTCCCAGAGTAACTGTGGCTGCCCCATCCCTGGAAGTGTCCAAGGCCAGGTCAGAGCAACCTGGGCTAGTGGAAGGTGCCCCTGCCCATGGCAGGGGGCGGGATGAGATGGGCTTTAAGGTCCTTCCAACCCAAACCGTTCTGGGATTCCAAGATAGAAGAAAAACTACAGATTAATGTAGTTTAGAGCCTTGATAGTTAAAAGAAAAGCCCTTTGCAGCACTTCCAGAACTCAGTCAGGAAATTTGGGGTTATTTATGCAGGAGAGAGAAGGGAATTGCCACAGAGGCTCTGGGCAGCTCCCTGCAGAGCAGCAGGAAGTTGAAGTTTCAGAACCTCGTTTCTGGGCTGATATTGTTCACAAACTCCTGTTTTGTTGGTCAGGGGATGATTTCTGGCCTCTCTTAACTGTGTCAGCATGTGCCCATTGCAGGGCTGTGTGTGTGTGGAGGGGTGGATGGAACAGGGAGGAGCTTTGTGGCCCCCTCCTGCCTCACCTTCAGGATCCACATTCTGCATGGAATTAAACCACTTCTCTAGCCAAGCTGGCAATCACAGAATCCCAGGATGGTTTGGGTTGGGAGGGACCTTAAAGCCCGTCCAGCTCCACCCCTGCCATGGGCAGGGGCATCTTCCACTAGCCCAGGTTGCTCCAACCTGGCCTTGGACACTTCCAGGGGTCCAGGGGCAGCCACAGCTTCTCTGGGCATCTTATCTTCTGCCAGAGCTGAAGCCCAGAACATGGATCTCCTCACCCTGTGGGGTGGGGAGAGCAGGAGCCCACAGCTCCTCAACTCTGCTTTGTTGTCCTTTGTCTCTGGAAAAATATTTCTCCAGCTCCTCCTTTCTTACCCACAAGGAAATGGTTATGAATTGGAGGGGGTGGGATGAATTGTTAACTTATTCCTCTTTAAGCAGCTGAAAGCAGCACTTAAATCTGCAGCTCTTGGATGCAGAGCTGGTTTCCTGGATGAGAAGGAACTGGCAGGAAAGTTTACTCTACTGCAAGCCCCAACTTGCTAATTTTCTTTATTCTTCCCTCACCTTGTTTAGTTCATTAATTCCCACTGATCAGCTCTGGATTTCACTGGGTTCCCTTAGTCCTGACTGTTCACCAGAGTGTTATTTTCAAAATTAATGGTGCAGGTGGTGGAGGGAAGAGCCTTGGAATGCTTGAACTTGGTCACTTCCTAGGGAAGGAGGAGGTGGTGGGATGGGAGCAGACATGGAAAGGCTCCCATGAAAGGTTAATCAGGAATTTGTTCCCATTGCCTCTGGCTTTGCTACAAA